GTCGGGGTTGTTACAATGGATTTGATGAATCACATCTTTAAACCATTTTTAGATAAATTTGTAGTTATATTCATCGATGACATTCTGATCTATTCAAAGAGTAAAGAAGAACATGGACAACATCTAGGAGTAATTCTTCAAACACTTAGGAGAAACGATTATATCAAAAATTTAAGAAATGTGAGTTTTGGTTGAATGAAGTTACATTTTTGGGACATGTCATTAACAAAAATAGTATATCTGTAGATCCATAGAAAATTGAAGCAATTGTTAATTGGTTTATTCCGACTAATGTAATAGAAGTCTGAAGTTTCTTGGGTTTGACAGGCTACTATCAGAGATTGTCAAAGACTTTTCCAAGATTTTCGTACCATTGACTCAATTAACCTGAAAGGGAGAACCATTCAAATGGATGGACCAAAGGGAATCGACATTCCAGGAATTGAAAACAAGACTAACCACAACCCCAGTCCTTACTTTACCATCAAGTATTGTAGGATTTGTAATTTTTAGTGATGCATCTCACAAAGGTTTAGGTTGTGTCTTAATGCAAAATGACAAAGTGATCGCTTACGCGTTTTGACAACTAAAACCACATGAGAAGAATTACCCAACACATGATTTAGAACTTGTTGCCATGGTATTTGCATTGAAAATATGGCGTTGTTACCTTTATGGAGTGAAATGTGAAGTATATACAGACCACAGAAGCTTGAAGTATTTCTTTACACAAAGAGAATTGAGCATGCGTTAAAGAAGGTGGCTCGAATTGATCAAAGATTATGATTTGCAGATTAAATATCATTCGGGTAAGGCTAACACTGTAGCTGATGTGCTTAGTAGAAAGAATACAGGGTGTTAGGTTTTATTCTTGGCAACCTCGTTTGACAAAATTCCTTTCAGTTGTATTTATTTTTGCACTTTTATTTCAGTGAGGCTATGAGTGTTTAGATGCGAATCCAACCCGAATTGTGCCTTTCAGAGAAGTTTGTGATGCTAATGCTTTCAAGATTGCCACTTCGCTGATTATGACGGGGATCGAGTTGCCCGGTCAGCTCGCGGGGGTCCAGGGGGCAGCGTCCCTTGGCGGGTCCGGGGCAGCGGCACGGCGGGGTCGAGGGGCAGCGCCCCCGAAGCAAAATGCAAAAATGCATTCCAAGTTGCCTGTCCGCTCAAGCGGACATTACCCCGCTCGAGTGGAGAATGCTGGGTTTCAGAAGTTTGTCAGGTCTGTAAAAATATTGGAAGGTGTGATTTCGCGCTCGAGCGGGTTCTCTAGCGCTCGAGCGGACCTCTGTTATATCATGCGCATATTTTGCTGATGCTGCTCGAGCGGGCTGTTGGGCGCTCGAGCGGAGATCGCGGGACAGATTCTATAAATTCACGTGTTGCGTCAGATTTTAGGACTACTACTCCAGATCTTCTTTTTGGGTTCTAGGGTTTATATCTGGGGATACTTTGTGAGTTTTCTTTGATGTTTTGATTGAGTATTCAACTCATGTTTTAAAGAGTATACATCAAAGGTTTTGTTTGTTCTACAAAAGAGAGAGTTGTTCTTCGGTGGATTCTGAAAAATTCGAGCCTGAAGCTTTGGTGGATTCCGGGGTGGCTCATCGTACAAACAATTCCGAGGTGAAGACGGGTTGGAAGAGGCACATAGAGGTTGGTTCAATTAGGTGTGGATTCGCTAGGTAATTGAGAGTATACCTGTGTAATTCTTTTAAATCTTCTTAGTGGATTGTTTTGTGGCTGTTGCCCGTGATTTTTTAATCACAGTTGGAGGTGTCCAATTGTGGTTTTTTCTACGTTAAAATCATTATGTTGGTTTGTCTTGATTGTGTAATTGGGATTGTTATATACTGCTTAAAATTGTTACATAATCACAAATCAATATCTAGGGGGGATTTCTAGATTTTTCACAGGGGATTTGGCATACTTGCTTATAGACTGAAGAGAACTTTTGCAAGATCTAGACAGACTTGAAATAGAAGTTATGTTTCATGGGCACGATAGTGTATTGGCCGCAATGTCTGGATAACCGGCAATCATCGAAGAAATCAAACAAAAACAAAGAGAAGATCAATTTTTCAAGAAAGTATGTGATGAATTTGAGAGTAAGCCTAGGTCGGGGTTCACCATTAGAGGTCAAGTGGTGAAGTTTTAGGGAAGACTTTGTGTCCCTAATGATGTAGAATTGAAAAGAAGAATTTTTGAAGAAGCCCACAAATCAATGTTTGCCATGCATCTTGGGAATATCAAGATGTACCAAGATTTGAAGCAAGTGGTAAGTCTAACCTTTAGCTCCTGAAATGACTTCTCACAGATCTCACTCCACACAAACTTAACTCTCTTCCTCGTAAGCCTAGTCAATGGTGATGCTAATCTAAAGAAATCCTTTACAAACTAACGATAATACCCGGCCAACCCCAAGAAACTACAAATCTCAAAGGCATTTTTAGGTTGTTCCCAATCTTACACTGCCTCTATCTTAGAAAAGTCTACTGTCACTCCTCCCCCAGATACCACATAGCCTAGGAACTTCACCTCCTTCAACTAGAACTTGCACTTCCTGAACTTAGCACATAGTTTGTGGGCTCGAAGCAACTCAAGTACAACTCGCAGGTGTTCCTCCTTGGAGGATGAGTAAATCAAAATGTCAAACTCACGAAAGATCCGATTCATCAAATCCATAAATATGGCCGGTGCGTTGGTTAAGCCAAAAAGCAATACTAGGAACTCATAATGGCCATACCGCATACGAAATACTGTTTTCTGGGCATCCTCTTCCCTTACCCTTAACTGATGATAGCCCGATCTCAAGTCTATCTTAGAGTAAAAGCAAGACCCCTTCAACTGATCAAACAAATCATCTATATGAGGCATTAGGTACTTATTCTTAACAGTTACTCGGTTTAACTTCCGGTAATCAATACAAAGTCGTAATGCACCATCTTTCTTCTTGGTAAAGAGAGCCGGTGCTCTCCAAGGCGAAGTACTAGGGCAGATAAAACCCTTATCTAGCAATTCATGGAGTTAAACCTTCAACTCACTTAATTCAGAAGGTGCAAATCTATACCGTGCCATAGAAATCGGTGTTGTGCCAGCCACTAGATCAATAGAGAACTCAATTTCACGGTGAGGTGGTAAACCAGTGAGATCCTCAGGAAAGACATCTGGGGTATTCACAAACCACCTTCTGTAACTCAACTCAGACTACATCACTCTTGACACCCAAGAATGTAGCAAGAATGAGACTAAACTCGCCCTGACCACGTAGATCACACACACACTATAAGGCTCTATCGACTCTGTCCCCCATGAAATAAAAACAATAACTGCTCGAGGTGCATACGGTAACTCTTTGACGGTAACAATCTATGATAGCCTGATACGATGACAACCAGTCCATACCCAATGTAGCATCAAAACTCAACATGTCAATCAATGCAAAAGAAAAAAGAAGTCGACAACCGACAACCTCTATATCACAACCCCGACACCCCTGGTCCAAAACAATTTCACCACCCACAAGAGACTCTACCCTGAGTGAAGATGCTAAGTAAGCCATTTCTAACCCCAATGATGATGTAAATGCAAAAGAGATAACATAATGAGATGTATCCATATCAATCAATATATTGGCAATAGAATTGCATAATAAGAAGTACCTTTCAAACTGAAGGCGCTGACACTAAATCTGGCGTGATAACAGCATACGCACGTCCCGTAGGTCTTTACTCCACATGCTCACCCCTTGGGGCATAAGTCTAATGCACTAACTAAGCCGAAGAGGCTTCTTGATTGGTCCTCAAGGCCTGTGTTGACTGTGCAGGCTGGTGGCTCTATGTTTGTCTCGAACCAGACACACAAGGTGTGCCACCCAGCTGAGGGCAAAACCTCTTCATATGCCCTGATTGCCCACACTAATAACAGGTAAGCGATTGTCCTCTCCTCTAACTCTAGCTCTGAGAGTGAGTCGTAGACGATGCAAATTGTTACCCTCCTCCTCTTTGCGGGCAAGCTGGGGACTTGTGACCCAACTGGCCATGCTTAAAACAAGAAAAGCCTCATTGATTACCTCTCCCTGAACCTGAACTCGGCACAAGAAAGGTGGATCTAGACTGTGCGCTATTGTGGAGTGGAACCCCTCTGCCACTTATTGTCCTGATTCTCTCCCTGAACTTCCTGGCTCCTCTTGGAGCTCTTCATCTGTTTTTCCTCTGCCTGAACTACGGTCTCAAGATGAGCCCAGCCTCTACAAGGCGTCCATAGTCCCCACTCATCGACCTAACTACCTTGGAAAGAAGCCCAGTCCTCAATCTCTTCTTGAACTCAATACAACAGCATTCTTTTGTTGCCACGAGTTTCGGTGCAAATCTAGAAAGGCTTATGAAAGCTGCCTCAAACATGGCTACTGGCAAACTAAGCTGCCACAACAACAAAAAAGGCCTTTGGTGCCAGACTGATTTTGTCTCCACACATCAAATTTTCGTCACCAAAGTGATCTGTGACAAAAAAAATTTGTCACCACGTTTGTCGTCTATTTGTCATTGCAGAAAATACCTGGTGACGAAAAATTGTTTTGTCGCATATTCTTTATTTTTGACTATGAAATATTTCATCTCTAAATATTGAATTTTTCGTCCTCTATAACATTTATTTCGTCACTATAATTAAATAATATTTTATTTTTAATTGTTTTGGCGACAAAATATTTCGTCACAAAATATTAAGATAGAGGTTGTAGTGACGAAATTTATCCTCACCAATGATAAAGATTAAGGTGACAAAAAAATTCGTCACTAAAATGAGCACAAAACAAAATTCTTCAATGACGAACAATGTTGTCGCTAAATAATTCAAGTTAGTGACGAAATATTCAGCAAATGTGACGAAATTATTTGTTGGAACTATATCATTAGTGACAAAATTATTTGTCAAGAAAAGTTGTTTGAAAACTAATAGCGATAATTTTTTTTTTAATTTCGTCGCTAATAATTGTTAACATTTTTAAAAATGGGGGTAATCTTTTAAATTTTCAATTTTTTTCACTAAAAATTGCTTACACATTTTAATAACATGTTTAATAAAATATCTATTATAGATCAATACAAAAACTTGTTTATTTTCATAAACACCGTAGTCGAAATATGTCTCATAATATCCACAAAAATACAATATCAACTGCGGATTACGAAACATGTCTCCTAATATCCATAGAAAACATGTCTCCTAATATCTATAAAAATATAATATTAAGTGCAAATTACCAAACATGTCTCCTAATATATACAAAAATATAAATTTTACAACGCACCCAAAATACATATAAGGTAATATTAACAAAAACACAAAATGAGCAAGTTCCTGCTTTCTAGATTACCAAACACGTCAATCTCTAATCTCCAATCTGCAACCAAAATAAAAAAGAAAAAGAAAAAGAGGAAGACAATTACTATCTTATCAATGAAATATACAATTTAAAATTTTTCAACAAGTGCATTTTTTGACTTAATTTTCAAACCAGAAGTCCCGTGCTAGTTTCATAAGTTTCCACAACTTACATTGGTCCCTCCCGAGGTATTCGGGGTGTTTCCTGGGCCTTTTCGTGGCTATTTCACGAGTTTGGCCCCTAATGACCTATTTTCAAGCCTAAGTGTTGAAAAAGTGCATTTTTTGACTTAGTTTTCAAACTGGGAGTCCCGTGCTAGTTCTTAAGTTTTCACAACTTACATTGGTCTCTCCTCAAATGTTTGGGGTGTTCCTCGAGCCTTCTCATGGTTGTTTCACAATTTTAGCCCCTGATGGCCTATTCTCAAGCCTAAGTATTGGAAAAGTACATTTTTCCACTTAGTTTTCAAACAAGGAGTCACATGCTAGTTCCATATGTTTCCACAACTTACATTGGTCCCTTCCAAGATGTTTGGGGTGTTCCTAGGGCCTCCTTGTGGCTGTTTCATGATTTTGGAGCCCGATGACATATTTTCAATTCTAAGTGTTGAAAAATTGCATTTTTCTACTTAGTTTGCAAACTGGGAGTCCCATGCTAGTTCTGTAAGTTTTTGTAACTTACATTAGTCCCTCCCGAAGTGTTTGAGGTGTTCCCCGAGCCTTCTCGTGGCTTTTTTATTATTTTGCCCTCCTTAGATGGCCTATTTTCAAGCCTAAGTGTTAAAAACGTGTATTTTTCTACTTAGTTTTTAAATCGGGAGTCCTATGCTAGTTCTGTAAGTTTCCACAACTTACATTGGTCCCTCTCGAGGTGTTCGGGATGTTCCTCGGGCCTTCTTGTGGCTATTTCACGATTTTGGCCCCCCAATGGCCTATTTTCAAGCCTAAGTGTTGGGAAAAATGCATTTTTCTACTTAATTTTCAAGTCGGGAGTCCCGTGCTAGTTTTGTAAGTTTTCAAAACTTACACAGGTCCCTCCTGAGGTGTTTGGGGTGTTCCCCGGCCTTCTTGTGGCTGTTTCACGATTTTGGCCCCCGATAGCTTATTTTCAAACCTAAGTGTTAAAAAAGTGCATTTTTCTACTTAGTTTTCAAGCCGGGAATCCCGTGCTAATTCCGTAAATGTATATTTTAAAATTAATTTTTATATAATTCATCAATGACATCTTGTGATGCAGATAATTAAATAACTAATGAGAGCATGGAACAATGCAGAAGCCAAAGCAATTCCAGTATCCTAGGTTTTTCGAGTTAAGAACCAAGTGGGAAAGTTAGTCCCATTTAAGGTAACCTCAAATTAGGCTCAAGAAAGCCTGTTACACACATTTGTGCCTTGGTTTCTTCCTTCTAAGATGAATCTTCACTTTAAATTTGGGATTTTTATGTCCTGTTTCTTTCTCTTCTTTCATTTTGTCTTTGTTATGGGAAATAAAGACATCAAATGCTATCCAATTAAGATGGCCACTATCGATTTTGTATGAGTGCAAGACTTTAACATAAATGATTGTCCAAAAAATGGGCCAAATGGTGACTTGAGCCTATTTCATGGACAATGACTTAGAAAAATTGAACAGAAACCATCATTTAAAAGTGTGGCAATATTTTAAAGATCTATATTATCCTTAACATCAAACAATGCCTACATAGATAGCTTTCTAGATATGAACCAAGAACTTAGAACACTTGATTTACTATTCATATATCATATTCATGCTATTTTTTCTCCCCTAGGTGAGATAGTATCTATAATAAAACATATAAAAACTAGAGAGTAATATGTGTCATATTATTGCGTATCCCACACCTGCTGGTAGTTGTAATACGTGTCATGTTTGGATATGTTGATTCTCTTTACTACATCAAGATTATAATCAAACCACCAACCTCAAATACCCCTACCAAGGATGATCCTATTTCTAGGTACTGCACTCTATGACCATCAGCCATGATCCCTATTCATGTTGGAAAAAGATGGTTAATCCGGAGGTATGGAGTGTTTTGTGTTTCATTGAGTTTGCACAATCTGAATGCAAAGATTTCTCCTCTTCAAGTAAAAGCTATTGAGCCTCATTATTAGCATGTCACATCCTCTTCAAGTAAAAGATGAACATAACTGGGACATCAAAAACTTCCTAAGGCTTTTTTGATGGAGTATGTCACATCCGCTTCAAGTTATCAATTGTAAAGATTTTTCCATGCATTACTATCTATTCAAAAAATATAACCTTAGATGGAAACACAGGTACCAGACTTTAAGAAAGAAAGAACACATAATTGTTTTTAATACAACAAGGGAGAAGGACAAACTTAATTATTAAAATAGATCAAGAATAATACATTACATTATTTTGTTTTTACCTGGTTTGTCACGGTGGTTAATTTGTATCCAACACTTTATTTTTATTTTTTTTTTAAGAAAAAAGAAGAAGAAGAAGAGTATTGTGGATAATAATTTAAGATTCAATACGAGCAATAGTCATTCACATTGTGTCATTGTACATAGGAGAGCTTGATTATCTATGTCCAATTTGCTCACCAATAATAAATGAACCAAAACAATTATTGGTGTTGTTCATTAAGGGCATGAACAACAGGGTATAAAGTGATTGCTCAAAAGTTTGAATATGCATTCCCATACTTGCCAACTGAAATTTCATCACTCCACCAAGCAATGTCTTCTTAACAAAACGACTTAAACGAAATACAATAGAAAGTGATTCTTTATACTTTGTGGAATGCTTGATTAATACCATTTTTATATGCTATTCCACTACTTAATGACTACAAAACTGTGTATGAAAGTTCATTATTTTCAACCTTCTTCATTTGTGTGAAGTTAGTTTTCCTTACTTTTTTTCACTTGAATAATGTTGGTTCTAGTGGAAGGTAGACAATGGGATAAATCCCTTAGATATGACTATGAAGGTTTCCCTATGAGTTCAATTTAGACTAGAACATAGATCAATGATCAGAAGTACTTCAAACCACTTACCCAAGAAGAAGAAGAAAAAAAAAGAGTAAGAAAAAGAAAACAAAAAAAGAGGTTCCCTGAAATGATTCCAATAGAACAACTTACTGAAATGATACACACTTCCACAATGCTAAATGAATAGGTTCTTACAAGTTTAATATGGTCCAAACACAAAAAAAAAAAATAATAATAATGCTAGTCAAGGAATTTAGTTATAGCCACTTTAAAGTCATCATGAGGGTAGCATAAAGGCTAATGCAACACTTACCTGCATTATTATGCATGTCCCTGAGATCTTATCAGAGCAGCGACACTTTCTTCAGCCAGGGTAGCATAAAGGCAAATCAAGCTTTGCACACAAACAGAGTACATAAATAGTTTTCTTGGGAACAAATCGGAGCAGCAAACAATGAAGAAATATTTCATAAAAAAATAAAAAATAAAAACCAGATATTAAAGATTCATCTAGAACAATAACTAAAATATAACCAACAAAGACCTTATAACATATTCTTTCAATTCTATTCCCAATCAATGAAAAGGGTTTTCTGGAACCCAACTAGGTCTTCATACACTCATACACACACTCAAGGAGGTGTCTATGTCAAGGCAATGGAACATAAGCAACAACAAGAACAAAACAATGGACAACTAGGTTAAGACAAATTGAAAGGAATTCTGTTATGCATCCTCCTACCCATTAGTGGAAGAATTTCAATTAAGGTCAAACCATCATAAGGTATATTACAAGGGAGAATTTTTAATTCAAAATAAAAACAAATTATCAAAGAGAGAAATGGAGAAAGAGAGGAAAAAGAAATGTTAGAACAATCAATAACTATATAATTTGAACTTAGCAAAAAGCCCCAAATTCCATCATCTAGACAAATAAAATGTTCATTTGAATGCATCATCTTATAAATAGAGCCCTAATGGAAACACACAACGAAAACCCCAAACAAAATATAAAACAATTTAAGAAATCCAGAACACAAGATGGAACTCATGAATCGCAAGGGTTATACAAACTTGAAATGCATAAAAAAGCCTTGAATTAAGGTGATCTGGGTTTGGGTTTTGTTTTCTATTTTCTTCAATTATCATACAAGATAGGAACACTTACAAGCTCGCTGCCGTTGCTAGCTGCCGGCTTTGCCTGTCCTACGCTGTTGAGAAAGAGAGAGAGAGAGAGAGAGATAAGCGACTGAGATGCCGCTGCCAGATGCGCTGCACGCTGCCGCCGCCTTTGTTGTCTTACGCCGCTGAGAGAGAGAAAGAGAGAGATCAGCGCGTCTGATGAGAAATAGAGACATGCGCAACAAGAGAGAAAAAGAAGAAGAAAAACAAAAATGGGGGGAATATTGGAAATAATTTGTTGGTCCTTTTTCTTCATATATATATATATATATATATATATATATATTTATAAAGACGTGGCAAACGGACGGGTTTGGATGAGTCAAAATAAGTTTTGTATTAAAAATTTGTTTCAACTTTTGAAGACCATTTTGAATCAGTATTTTTTTTATTTTACTAAAATTTTTCAAGATTGTAATCAATTAAAAATACTTTTTTTAAAAATATATCTAAAAAGTAAAATATTTGTGAATAAATATTAAAAAATCAATAACTATAAAAAACTATACAAAAATATACTGAGTTTTCATATCTTTTTAGAATTTTTTTGTGTATGGTGAATTTTTTAATAATTTTTTTCGTAAATATTATACTTTTAAAGTTTATTTGGACTATGTGTATCTAAAAAGTTAAAAAAATAAATAATGATTAAAATATTAAAATAGTTCACTAAATATTCAAAAAATATGAATTAAAAATTAGAAAAATAGTTTTTAAAAATTGAAACAAACAGAATCGATCCGAACCCGCCTATTTAATAAATGGGTTTAAATGAATTGGGTGGATGTGGAGTGTTAGTACTGGCAATGAAGAAGAGGTGGTGGAGAAGTAAGGTGGTGGTAGCGGAAGTAGTGTAGAGGTGATGGTGATGGTGGTAGTGGTGGTGGTGTAGTGGCAACGGTGGTGGTGTAAAGATAGTGGATGAGAGGTAATGGTGGTGGTAGTGAAGTGGCGGCGATGGCAGTAACAGTGGTGGTGGTGGTGGAAAAGAGTGAGTGGCGGCGGTGTTAGAGTGGTCATAGCGGTAGTGGAGAACAGGTGACGGTGGTTGTAACAACCCTTATACTGTTTACCGATTAATGACTGATTAGTTAGCGATAAACGCTGATTACCGTGAAACTGAATTGATCATGACTGATAATTGAACTGATTAAAAAACCCATAGGGCCGGGTTTGGGTCGTGACAGTGGTAGTGGAGTGACAGCTGTAGTGGAGTAGTGGCAACAGTGGTTGTGGAGTTGTGGCAGTTATGGCAATGGAAGTAGAGAAGAGTTGGTGGTGCAGTGGTTGTGGAGTAGTGGCAGTTATGGCGATGGAAGTAGAGAAGAGTTGGTGGTGGAGTGGTGGCAGTAGTAGTGGCGGTGGCAATGGATCTATGGTCGCAAAGCTGGTGGTGGTAGTGGAGGAATGTTGGCAATGATGGTAGAAAAATCCATTTAAACAGACTTAAACAAGTACTCATGTCTAACTCAAAGAGGGCTTTACAAGATAGGAACTGATTTGGGCAAACAAAGAGGGCTTCTCACTTATTGTATGAAACAACGTTGCTTTGCATAATAAAACTATAAGAGACGAAATTATTTCCTTGCGGCAAATTTTTACAATGGTGCCCAAATCTCACACCAAATTTTCAAGGGCGGGAATTTATTTTGTGATATAATAAAAATATAGAGACGAAAAAAAAATTCGTCGCCTATTGTTTTATTGATTTTAAGCATTTAGTGACGACATTTGATTTTCCTCTTTAAAAATAGTACAATTGGAGACGAAATCCTATTTTCATCTCTAAACACATGTATATTTAAAGATGAAATTTTTTTTCGTCATACGTTTTTGTCACCAAAGACTTTTTTTGTTGTAGTGTGCTTGAGCTACAGAAACTGATCCCAAACCTTTTTTGTTGTATTGTGCTTGAGCTACAGAAACTGATCCCTCAACTTCTCCTTAGTAGTGGGAGACAAGAACTTATCTTGGAAGGCATTGACGAAGGCCTTCCAAGTCACTCCAATGCACCTATGCACATACTTCCATCAGTGACCCGTATCGCCTTTCAGCTGGAAGGATGCCAAGGTCACTCTCAGTCTATCGTCTTCGATGCCAAGCATCTCAAATGTCTTCACCATCTGCTCTAACCACTCATCTACCTTCAGTGGCTCCTTAGGATCACCCAAAAACTCATCCGAATTAGATTGGAAGAACTCTCTCTTCAAGAATGATGGCCCTGCTTTAGCAATTTGGGCTTGGACTAGATTCTCAACCCTGAGAATGTCCATAGATTCCCACAAAGCTCCGGCCATTTCACGGGCCAAAGCACCGATGACCTGTTGACCAATTGGTTCGACAACATTTGTCACAACCCAATCCCAGGGGCTTAAGGCTGGAATTACAACTTACTAAATAATTCTAATCATAGCAAATTAATGGCGCAAGCAGAGGCAAATGGAAATAAAAATAATTAAACAGAATATTTACTGCATTCTACTATTTTGATAATAAAAAAAAAAGAGTACATTTATAGGCCTTTTATTATTTTATTGTTCAGAAACCGACTATTAGTAAAAAAAAAAAAACAAAAGAGAGAAAAGAAAAGAAAAGAAAAATGAAATAACGGATCAACATCAAATTCTTGTGCGGATTCCACTACACGAGGTTACGGGTCTTCCTTACATCTCATTACCTAAAAAGATAATAGCTATAAGCACGCAGCAGAGTGAGAAATATTATACCCAAGAGTATAGAAAATACAAAATAACCATGGATAGTTAGTTAAGTTAAAACATTTACATAACTTAATTTGAATAAACAAATTATTTAAATGGCAGAAACTAAAATACAGAAATTATATAAATAAATAACCATAACCATAGTATATAATAGAACAGAACAGAAGTCACTAGAGTGATAGTCAGAACAGAGGTCACTGGATTCATGACAAACAGATGACCACGAAGTAGCCAAACAGAGGCCAATAGTTATTTAAGTCTCCCAAGGCATGACACTCCAGTAGTAGTATTTACAAAACATAGTTGTTTATAAAACCTTTGTCAAATAATTTTTAAAAATTAAACAAATATATCAATGAGTCTCAATTTAAGCAAATAGAGTTCAGAAAATAATTAATGTAATCAAAATATTAATATAATTTATAAAACATAGATTATGTAAAATAATTTATGATAATTCAAAACATACGTAAAATATATTATGGTGACTCAAAGTATAATATAACTTACCTAAATATTGACCACTAACCTTATCGATCTCCTATTTCTTTGTATGCTGCCCTTAGGTATATTCTTTTTCATCCCCGCTTAGCAACCCACTATTTCCTCTATTTATAGTTGGTGAAAGCCTCTTAGATCCTAATCAAAAGTACATGTGGCAAAGTGTCTAACCTGGCCATCCATCCAATAGATTTCCACATGTCTCTCTAGATTAGGTGACTCACCAAATCTTTAAAACTATCCATGCATAGTCATCAATCTATGGCTAGGCTGGAGAACGTGTAGCCCCCCCCTCTTTTTGTTTGTTATTATTATTTGGCCCAAAATTTTAATTACATTTTATCACCTACAACCATAACATTAATTGTCACTATTATTATTATTATTATTATTATTATTATTATTATTATTATTATTATTATTTATTCTTGTTTCATATATTTATTTTATTATTTTTATTTTTGAAATAACGTGGTGTTAATTAAATATTTGAGCTGTTACAAAATTGAATTTTTACGACTTGCAATACATGCTGTAAAAACTCTTTCATAGCATGCACACAAATGCCGTTATATGACATGCTGTGAAAAGTTGAGCATCATTTACGACATATATGTAAAGTTATAAAAAGTAATAAATTAAACATTAATGACATATTTTGTATGTCGTATATAATTTTTTACGATTATTATGCCATAAATCATCATACTTTCCATGGCATAATTTTGCATGACGTAAAAGGTTATTTTTAATATATTTTTTACATACTTTGTATGTTGTATATAATATTTTATGACATTTTCTTGCATTTCAGAAATCATCACACTTTTCATGACATAATTTTGTATGCTGTAAAAAGTTATTTTTAATATATTTATAACATACTTTGTATGCCGCGTATAATCTTTTACAACATTTTCTTACATGCCGTATATAATCTTTTATGACATTTTCTTGGATTTTCGGCATGTAATAATCTTTTATGACATTATGACATTTTCTTGAATTTTCGACATTTTCTTGCATGACGAAATTCCTTTTCTGACTATTATGAACAAGTAAAAAATTCCAAAAGAAGCAACTGTTAGCAATACAAAACATAATTCAACCCTTCTCTACCTCATCTCAGAAAAGGAAAAGATACTATTCATAGTTTGAAATTTTCACACGTTACAGGCTATCGAATTACGATGCTACACGTCTGCATTTCTTGGGTGACAGTCTTGCAGAGTTCAGATTTTAATTTTTGTAAACACAAATCAATTTGCTCTGGTAAAGTTGATATCATTGAAGAAATCTCCTTTAACCTGTCTCGATCTATCTCCTGGCTAACTTGATCAGAAATAGATTTTAAGCCCCCAACAAGGTCAGTTTTGACATCTTCTTGTCCCTTGTTCTGATCATCATTTCTCAATTGTGTTAGAAAGCTTCCATAATTCCAATCCTGCGTTCAAGTTCTTCACTTATCTGACCTGTTAATGCTGAAAAAAGCACATCCATGTACAAGGACAAAAGATTAATTTTCTCACTAATTTGTAAAGAGGTAAAAAAATTAGAACCCTTTCTAATTGAAAATTTTTGAAGTCACATTAAATATAATGAGCATCTTTCATGGCTTTACAAAATTACACGAACTAGCCCATTGGCTGTAAACTTACATAGGTGATTTGCAGCAGAAGTAGAGTTCCATTTGCGCATCAGATTGGTGAACGATCTAGAGATTGGCATTTGACTTTTTTTTCGCATGTAGTTGATAGGGGGTGAGAGGGGGATTCTTAATTGGACCTGTAACCATGGAAGAGGTCGGGCAGGAAGAGGTCCGAGCATATTTGGGCCGAGCTAACCTGGACCGATCCTGGGTTGGTTTGCTCGGTTGAAGTCCCAGGGCCCATTCAACTGTAGACACTCCATTTTTGATCGTTCTCAAGATTTGGACGTCATTGTTTGAACGCTCGATGATCATCCATGCTCGTGTTCATTTTGAGTTCCCGAAGGTCTTGACTGC